AATTTGTAGTATACATAACACACTGTCGTGATTGTCTGAGCCTGATGGCTGAGGACACTCTAAAATATACAACAACACAATTTACAGCGTCGCAGGTAGAATCGTTGACAGAACTCATGAAAATGACATCGACGATCTCCTTGAAACGAAGATTGGAGACCTGGTTGGTTTTTTTTCTCAGTGGTTCCGCCTTACGATCAGCTGCGTAGACAGGATCTCTGACCATACACACTCATTTTCTAAAAGTCATATATAGGAATGGAACGGTGAATTGGCGAAAGAAGCGGAGAACGAATTAAAAACGCACTCGAAGACGGATTCAAGAAAAGCTGACCTGAAGCTCGAAGGGACAGCGTTAGTACAAGGGTCCTTGAGGTGTCTTCCTATTTTGTACTACCTAAAATTGTATATGAATATTCAGTGATGTCAAGGATGAAAACAAAGAGCAAGCGCTTCTGGAACTCCTCCTACGCATCCTTGGAGAAAACGAAGACAAAGTTAGTTGAGGTTGATGTATATGTAGCAAAAATGTCGACATGACACAAAGAAAAATACAGGATCCCTTTTTCATAGAACAATATTATACACATTCCGGCGCTGCGGACCTTTTTTGAGCGGTGAACTTAGGTTCTCCCAGATTTTTCGAGTTTTCTGCTATACGATTTTGTAGCCTCAGTTATTGTAGTACCATGAACTTTAAATCGTACGTCAGGCAAGTCTTTGCCCCCTCTGCCAAGGCAACTTTCTTCATATTTGAAATTTATAGTTGAGCCTCGTTAAAGGTGAGTGATTGAGAGGAATTTTCCTACTACTTCATTTATGATTCATCTACATGTAAATGTTTCTGTTCGGTCTACCTCGTTGCTTGAAATATCTTATTTTTGGCCAATCTATTGATACCCACACATGTATTCAGGTTCGCGGTATTTCGCCAGGTTCACAATATGGATGTGGCAGCTTGTACGAAATGGATTCACAATATGGATGTGGCAGCTTGTACGAAGAAATGGATGAAGACCACTCTACCAGTCAGGTCAAGCTCGCTTGTCTCTTCCGTTGGACGCATCTTGCCTGAATTTTCCGATAAATTTATCCAGCAATTGAAGAACAAAACAACATTGATAAACCTGTTGTTGCCAACGCATTATTGCATAATAAATGCTTGCTTGACGATATACAATATTAGAAAAGTTAGAAAAAATTATCTTCGCGCGACACGGGGGATACACTCTAGACTTGTTAGACAGCAAACGGCAAGTGAGTGCGCGCAAATTTGAAGCGAGAGATTACGATAAAGTGTGTGTGCAGCGTGGAAGTACATGCACCAGTGGAAGCAGTAGTCAGGGGCCAAGGAAAGCGAAATGTTGCGTTTTTGTGGCCAAAGGTGCGCTAGCTGCAGCGTACTGGGCTTGCCATTCCTTTCTGAGCTCCGCCACGGCCTGTCCCCAGCAGCAGCGTCCTTCGATTATCATTTTGATGAGGTATTCCGCTGTGAGTATCCTATAACTTTCCCATGGAACGCGTTACCAATCAAAGCATGGCCTTTGCTGGTATGATGGTGGCTATCGGTTAACATGTGCAAAAGACCTCTTAATTGGTTGCTAGCTCGTCCATTATCGGAGGTCAACGGGCAAAGAAAGGGGTCCCATTTTTTCTTGACGGATTTCTTTGCTTTTTTCGCCACTGGGGCATTATTCAGCACCATGAACCAGTCCAATCTTATCGTAATCCCTCGCTTAAAGGACGAATTCACGCTGAAAAAGCAACCCATTTCAAATTAACTTAGGGATGGTGAGTGGTACACGAAAGAAGGAAAAACCATGAGAAACGGCCCAGAACCCGAGAAATGGGACCCCTTCCTTGCCCGTTGATTTGAGCATTGATGCGACTCTCATCGCTGTGCCCTCTTCAACACTACGCTCTCTCACCTATCTAATCACTCGCCACGTATAGACCGGCGAGTGATCAGATGATCGGTGGGCGTGCACTGCCCACCGCGCCAAGATTGAGCCATAATAGGTCGCCGAGGTCAACTCCTTCGTGCCAATTGCGCTTCAGTTCGCACCCTCAGGAGGTCCGCGGGTCCCTCAACTAGGTGAATTACTCCTTCTTCGACCTTCATTCTATCGTGAATTCGTCCTTTAATCTTTGGATGTGAAAAACACGGCATGGTGATTGCAAGCGGTGTTCGGACTCTTGAATACTACTACAGCATCCAAGCGCTAATGCCGGATGTTGTTGCTAGCTGCG